TCTGTATGTGGGATCCGAACCCTCGGGCGGGAGCGCCACCGCGCTTCCGAAGCGGCGCACTCATCCAGTGCGCCACCGGGCCGGCCCGGTCTCTACGTAATTTAACGTGGTTCTTATGCTCTTCACCCCCTTTGCCATCAATCTTATATTCCCTTTCACAACATGTATGAATTCTTCTTTCAGTCCTTCTAAAGAAATATACATTTTTCCTTACACTAACGTACTTTTGCTAAACCCTAGATACTGGTTTAAAAATTAATTGAAATTAAGTCCTTAATAAATAAGGCTCTGTGACCTTTGGGTTCTGCTTTCATTGTAACAATTATTAAACTGATATTTTAGTGTATATTTCTTATTATTGATTATTTAGCGATATTGACTATTAAATTGATATTTTCATGTATACTGTGTGCAGTGCTATCTCCCTTATGCCTAGACTCAGTGGTGAATAAAATAATAATTTCCCCGTAGTCTGGCGTTTACAGTGTGGTGATGAAGACAAAGACAGAAATAAGTGTAAAATGAGAGGATCTCACTTCTAATAGAAACAAATTCAGAAATTACATCATGAAATACGAGGGCAGCTCAAGACGTTTGCGGAAAAATGGAATTGAAAGACAATATGAATCTTTGCATGAATTTTTGAAGTTCACTCATAGAAACGGGGAACGTGTCTTTGAAACTTAGATCCCACTCCCTTTCCACCAGTCTATGGAGAAGTCACTGATAACAAGAGATTGGAGATCTTTATCGCTCTCATAAAATGTTTGCCATTGATTATTGAAAATGACACGTTAATGTTCATTTTCCAGATAACTAGTTAGACTGAACGTTTTCCCCTGTGTATGGGTCTTTTAATTCCTTCTCCCGTGAATTACCTTTTTAATATCCTTTCGCATATTTCGTGTCATTCATTTGCAGGAGCACTTGATTGCGTCGTGGTCGTGCCGTGCTCAGACCGGTCAGGGGCGGGGTCAAGGTTGGGTCGGAGGCTGGGCCGGGCAGGGTCAAGGCTCTGAAGAGAGTCAACGTCTGTAGTGGGACGGGGTCGGGGTGAGGTCAGCCTGTCTCTCAAAGTTCAGGGCCTGTCTGGGGCTGGGGTCAGGGCGGGGTCAGGGCGTGGCCAGGGGGCGGGGTCAAGGCCTGCTCCCGCTTCCCACCCTCTGGCGCGGGTGTCGAGCGATGGGTGTGGAGCCGCCAAGGACCCGAGGCCGGCCGGGCCGCCTGCTCTGGCCGCTGCTGCTGCTGCTACCGCTGTCCCCGAGACAGGAGGAGGCGGCCCCCACCCAACAGCCCCGCGTCCCCAGCCCCTGGCAGGCTCCGGGGGAGGCAGGAGCGAGCCCGGGGGCTCAGAAGGGCCGAGGACCCGCGGGCAGCGGGCCCCAGGGCTCTGCAGCCCCAGACCAAGGTCCCTTTGAAGCAGACCGTGTGGGCACGGTCTTTGAAGCTGGCACACTGGGCTGGAGTGGGGGCCCAGACTGGGGTGCTGGAGGGGGATATCAAACGGCGGGGCGCGGGGGCCGACGGCGGCTGGGGCTGGATGGGGCTGGATGGGGAGGCTAGAGATGGCCAGGGAGGCCCAATGGCTGACTGGCTGGGGGGCCCAGACTTGAGGGGACGTTGGGAGGTGCTGGCCAACAAGGCGAGGAGGCGGAGAGGGCCGGCGAGGCCAGGTGCCCTGTGCTGGAAGTCACCTGAGGCTGTCCTCTCTGCCCTCCCCTCTCAACCAGGTGGCTCCACAGACAGCATCAGCCAAGGTGGGTTGGGGAATCTTCCTCAGGGCCTGGCGTGGGAGCCGTGGATCTGGACAGATGACAAAGGCCTGGCCCTGGGGCTGGGCGGAGGGAGAGAGCGCCAGGAGTGCTGCTGAGGGGCCCAGAGTCAGGTGGGCCCAGGGGCCTCATGCCCCCTCCCTGAGGCCGGGGGACCACAGGCCTGCACCAGGGCACTGCCTCTCAAGGCTGCAACCACAACTCCCCTCCCAGAAGTGTCTTAGAACCAAGGTTGCCTTCATTAGCCCACCCCCTTCCTTTTAGAAATGGAGGATAATGAATCAGAGAGGGGGAGTGACTTTTCCTGGGTCACACAGCACCACAGACTCCTGCCCGTGATTCTCTCTCCCTGGGATACTGGAGTGAGGTGGAGGGGGCATAGCCACTTAGAAGCCATGACCTTGAGCAAGCACCATTAGTAACCTCTGAGACCTTTGGTTCTTTGACCTACAAAGCAGGCATCGAGGCGTGCTGGGGGAAGGAAATAAAGGCACAGGGCCTGGGTCCCAGTCCACTGCCCTGGCAGGCCCACTTAAGGATGAGCTGCTGTGGCCACCCTCGGTCACCCTTGCCCCATTCCCCGCAGGCCTCTGGGTCCTGTTTCCCCCAGAGCTTACTCAGCTGTGCTCGGCCATCTGTCCTTGGTGCTGGCCACTGAAGGCAGAAGCCGGGCAGCCCTCAGTCATTTGGCCAGGTCACTTGTCCTCTGGCCTTGGTTTTCTCATCTGTGAAGTGGAAGAGGGGCCTCTTTGGGGTGGCCTTCAGGGACACCACCTGTGTTGCTAACAGGTGGGTGGGGGGGTGTCTCCACAGTGTGCGGGAAGCCCAAGGCGATAGGGAAGATCTATGGTGGCCAGGACGCGGTGGCCGGCCAGTGGCCGTGGCAGGCCAGCCTGCTCTACAAGGGCTCGCACCTCTGCGGAGCCGTCCTCATCGACTCCCGCTGGCTGGTTTCGACCTCCCACTGCTTTCTCAAGTGAGTCTTCCTTCCGTGGGGCCCCCAGCAGAGGGGCTGGCAGGGGAGGATGATGCGGGGGAGGAGGAGGAAAGAGGGCTGGGGTCCTGCGCCTTTCTTCTCAGGGCTTCCCTCTGGGGCGGGCTCCTGCCACCAAACACACGTTGTGTTTTGCTTTGACCTGCAGAACCCTACACCTGGACTGTCCCCACTTGCCACCCAGTGCTCCTTCATGTGCCCAGACCCTCCTCATCCTTCATCCTCAGCTCCAGCAGGGAGCCCTCGGCACCCTGTGTCTGTCCCCCCAGCAGTGACATGCCCCGAGAGCACTGGCAGTGGCTGCAGGGCTTCTCCTCACTGTCCACACTCCTGAGTCACACTCTTGGCAGGGACCTGGGACTCTTCAATACCACCAGTGCCAGGCAATTCCTTTATCATTCATGTAAAACTGCATGCCTGGGAGGAGCCGTGGCGGCCACAGTCCCTGAGTGCCAGGTGGGAGGGGTGGGCCCTTGACCTTGGAGAACAACATGGACGGGCAGGAGTCTAACTCCTCTGACCCTCCAGGGTCTGACTCAGATCCCAGCTTCTGAACAGATGTGGAGGGCCCAGGAGTAGGGTCCCCACGGTCCAGGTCAGGAGTCACAGATGGGAGCTTCCTGGCTTTGAGACCCCAGCTGGGTTCTGTTGGCAACTACCCCGTGCCACTCTCACCTGAGACCCTCTATGGCACAGGGGATGGCAAGACCCCATATCTAGGGGTCTCCGTCCTTTCAGGAAGGCGAGACACAAGCTCCAGTCGTGTGATGCGGGGGGAGAGAGCCGAGAGGGGGTGAGAAGGGCAGGCTCTCAGGTGGGGGGTCGAGAGCAAGGCGGCTGTCGGGGAGGCCTGGGGGCTGCAGGGGCTGCCCGAGGGAAGATGGGCGCAGGGAGTGTGGGGAGGGCCTCCCCAGTAGGCGGTGGCCGGTGGGCGGTGGGCGCCTATTGAACAAGGCCATGAAGGCGGGAGGTGACCCGTCGTGTTGGGGAGGCAGGAGAGCCTCAGTGTCGGGCCCATCTGTGCGCTTAGCCAGGCCTTTCTGAGCGCTCCCAGCGACGCGGACAACCCCCTCAGGGAGGGGAAGGAAAGGTGGTCAGGCCGGGGGCGGGCTGGCCTCGGAGGCCCTCAGAAGCTCGGGCTGGAGCTGGGATTGAGCCAGAGCTCCTCTTGAGTGACATAAAAGGGCTTGGTTTGGAGACCTTAGCAAGGACCCATCCAGCGGTAGGATTCTCTGCTCCTCCGATTCAGGGTGTGATGGGAAGCCACGTATCCCAAGACCGTGAGTAGAATATCCTTCAGCCTCAAGGAAGAAGCAGTCCTGACTGTTAGGAAGGGGGCGACAGAGCTGCTGGGAACCACGGCGAGGTGGAGGAGGCCGGGAGGTGTGGGCAGTGAGATGAGCATTCAGGAAGAGGGTGCTGGCCCCACACCCAGGGACGACTGTGATCATCATAATGGCACTTTCTCCTCCAGCAAATCCCAGGCCCCGGAGGACTATCAGGTTCTGTTGGGAAACACCCAACTGTACCAGCACACCCAGCACAGCCAGAAGATGTCTGTGAACCGGATTATCAGCCATCCGGATTTTCAGAAGTTCTACCCCTTCGGGAGTGACATTGCCATGCTGCAGCTGCACCTGCCCGTGAACTTCACTTCCTATGTCGTCCCTGCCTGCCTCCCACCCCCAGACATGCAGCTGCCGAGCAACGCGTCCTGTTGGATAACTGGCTGGGGAATGCTCACCGAGGACAGTGAGAGGGTGTGGGAGAGGCAGAGGCTGAGGGAGGGGAGGACAGGGGAGGAGGAGGAGGAGGAGGAGGGAGGCGAGGGGAAGGAGGGAGCGGTGGCTCCACTAGGCAAGCAGGCCCAGGCTGGTTTCTGAAGCCACTGGTCCTTGGCCTGATGTGCCTCATTTCCATGACCTGAAAGTTGAGGATGGGACCACCTGGGGCCATTCCCATTTTGCAAGTGTGCGATTCCATGGCTCCAGAATCCCCTGAGTCCCAGGCTCTGAAAGTCTGCGAATCTTTGACTTTCAGCATCAAGGGTCTGGGTTCTTTGGGTCTTCATGGTCCTTGATTTTAATGCTTTTCATCAGCCATGGGTCTGAGATGACTTGATTCAACTCAAAAGTCAAGCTTGGGGGCTGGCCCATTCCAGGTCCCCACCACACACCTTGATTTTCCCTTGCCATAGAAGATATGTGGGGAAAAGCGGAGAGAAAACATTGTGGCTTCTGACCTCTGAACCTGAACGATCAAGTCAGAATGGTTACAACACGAGGGTGTCGAGCCTCTCCCGACCTCACTTCGCTCTTATCCTAACCTAGGCCAATGTCTACTTCATACTCTCGTTAGGTGAATTGAGTAACAGAGAAGGAAGTTTTGTTTGTATAGATTGAAAGAAGAAAAATGTAGGCAAAGACTTATGCATAAGAGTGTTTTTTGAAGGAAGTGTTTATGGTTTGGGGAAATGCTTATGCTATAATGTTAAGGGGGAAAGAAAGAACATACTTGTAAATGTTTTGGGGGTCATAATTCGTTACAGAGTTTCTCAACAGAGGTGCTACAGGTATTTTGGACAGAACATGACTTCATTGAGTGGGGCTCTGCTGGCATCCCTCGCCCTTGCCTAATAAAGCCAGGAACACTCCCAATCATATGACAACCAGCCTCCTGCATTTACATACACACATGCACATGCACACACACGCATGCACACATGCACACACACAACGTGCACACACATGCATGCACACAACATGCACACACACACGCACACACGCACACACACACACGACTGCTTACTCTCTGACTTGGTTGCACTGCACTGCTACCATCTTCTTGCCTGTAGCCCCTGAACTGGCCTCCCAGCTTCCACCCTTGTATGCCTCCACACAACTACCAGAATATTACTTTAAAACTTTGGTCATGTCACTTCCCTGTTCAGTACCCTCCAGTGCCTTCTCATCTGTGCTTAGAATAAAATCCAAACTCCCCACCTTGGCTATAAGGTCTTGCATGATGCCGGCACCTGGTTCATCTGGTGCTGGCATCTGGCATCTGCCTCATCTCCTACTGCAATGCCTCACACACACACACACACCCCAGCCACATGGGCCTCCTTGCTGCTTCTTGAATATGCCAAGGCCGTTCCCATCGCAGAGCCTTTAGCTTTGCTGTTTTCCCTGCCTAGCTCACTCCATCGTCTCATCTTCGCATGACTGGTTTCTACTTTACATTTACAATTCAGCTCCTCCCGTGAGTTTTACTTAATCATTTATATTAGTCCATTTTGTGTTGCTATAACAGCAATACCTGAGACTGGGTAATTTATAAAGAACAGAGGTTTATTTGGCTTATGATTCTGGGACAGCTGCATCTGGCACAGGCCTCAGGCTGCTTCTACTGGTGGTGGAAAGAGGCAGGCAGCCAGTGGGTACAAGCAGATCACATGGTGACAGGAAGCACGAGAGAGGAAGCAAGAGAGAGAGAGGAGGTGCCAGGGTCTTTTAAACAACCAGCTCTTGTGGGAACTAATAGAGCGAGAACTCACTCAGGCCCTCCCGCCCCCAGGGAGAGCATTAACCCATTCATGAGGGATCTGCCCCCATAACTCAAACTGCCACACTGGGGATCAAATTTCCTCATGAGTTCTGGGAGGACAATACATCCAAACTCCATCATCATTTGAGCTAAAAGAGGCCACCCCTACTAGCACATCTGTTTTATTTCCTTCATACCACTTAATAGATCAAAAGTAATTTTATTTATCTACTTCACTTACTGTCTCTCCCAACTAAAAATGTGTTCCTATGTCATCAGTGTCTAAAAGACACCTAGCATGGGGGTAGATGAAGAGAAGAGTGATTGGGTGAGTGGATGGATGGGTGGATGGATGGATGGAAGGGAGAGAGAATGGATGGACATATGGATGCGTGGATGGATGGGTGCGTGGATGGATAGATGGATGCATGGATGGAGGATGTGTGGATGAATGGATGGATGGATGGATAGAAGGACCAGTGAATGGATATGAGGATAGAAGGATGGGTGAGCACATGGATGGATGGATGGTTGGTTGGTGTTTATGTGGGTAGATGGATGTGTGGATAGAAGGATGAGGGAGTGGGTGGATAGTGGGTGATGTGTTGATAGATGGAGGGGAGGATGAGTGGGTGACTAATGGAGGGATGGATGGAGAGATGGATGGAAGTGCTGATGGATGGGCAAACGGATAGAAGGACGAGTGGATGAATGGGGTGTGTGGGAAGATGGTAGATGGAGGAAGGAATGGGTGAGTGAGTGAATGGGTGGGCAGGCAGGTGGATGAAGAGGTGGGAGAAGAGTTAGTGATAGATGTATGGAGAATGGATGGGACAGTTCATGAAAGAGTAGGTGGGTGAGTGAATGTTTGCTAAGCCGCAATGAATGGGTCGTGTGTTGGCAGGTTTTGCCTCTTGTGGACTAGGAGAGGTGTGGCCTGTGGCTGTAAGAGAGGTGGAAGTAAAGGGTGAGTATGTGGAAAAGTTTGAGAAAAAGGAGAGGAGCTTATCAAGGATGGTAGAAGACTGAAGCAGTGTTGAGAGCCCAGCTGCTTTGAGAAAACCCACGTTTGGTGGGTACTGGGGTGCAGTGGGCAGAGCGGGAGTGCAGAGTAGCCTGGGCTTCCTTGGCTCACCTACGCTGCACGTCACTGACCTCCCCTTATCTTTGCAGTGCACCTGTCACCGCCCTTCTCTCTCCAGGAGGGTAAGGTAGGCATCATTGAGAACACGTTCTGTAATATGTTATATGAGCAAAGAACTGGAAAAGACAAGAACTACCCCGTGCGGGAAGAGATGCTGTGTGCTGGGGACTTCTCGACGGGAAAGTCCATCTGCCGAGTGAGTGAGGCCATGTCTGCTGTTCTCTTGCCTGTCCTCCTGACTTTGGTCTCCCCAGGGGGACCTGTGTTGTTGCCTCTGCTCTCTGTGGAGCCCCCTGCACTTCCTGTTTTCTCCCCTCTGCATATTTTCCCGGGGCTCCACTTCTCGGCCGTCTCCCCCAGACTGTTCCTTTTCCCAGCCCATCCCAGCGTGATGATGTCTGCTGGAAGGATCCATGCACAGCCTCCATTTTTGTTGCATATTTTAAATTTTTACTGAAGCATAACATACATCGGCAAGAGTACATGATTCATAAGTGCATAGTCTGAACCTTCCCATAATGACAGACATGTTCCCAGCACCCCACAAGCCCCACTCATGTCCCCTTCTTGTCACCAATGCCCAAGGGTGACCACCATCTTCACTTTCAACCCCTTAGAGTAGACTCTGAGTTTATAGTTGTTACTCTGTGGTGTCCTAACGTCGTATGTGTGAGACTTACCCATACTGTGACACAGTGACAGCTCGCGCTTTCTGGCTGCTCTGTAGTGCACTGTGTGTGCACTGGATTCTGTTATCTGCTCTACTCTGGGTGGGTATTTGAGTAGTTTCCAGGTGGGGGGTACTGCACGTAGCAGTGCCCTACACACTTTGTACTTGTCGTTGGGGCACAGATGGACACCATGTATTTCCTATTGTCCACAGAAGCCCACGGGCACGACCTCTGGAGGAAAGGCGTGTGCCCCGGCTGGGGACAGTTAGCCCGTAGCCCGCCACAGTGGCCAGTGGGGAGCTCATATCTCACCAACACTCGACACTTCATTTTTTCTTATTGGGGCCGTTTTGGAGAGAGTGTAGTGATTTGTAGTTTTAATTTACATTTTCCTGATGACTAATTAAGTTAAATATATTTTCATATGTTTATTATCATTGGATATCTTCTGTGGTTTCAAGTTTGTTTGTGTTCCATGACCCCCCCGCCCATGTTCCTGTTGGGTCGACTGTCTTTTTCTTCTAGGAGCTCTTTATGTATTCTGGATATAAGTTCACTATTGGACATAGGGATTGTGAAGATCTCCAACCCTTTGTAATGTCCCTTTTTACAGATGAGGAAACTGACACCCAGAGATGGAAAGTGGCTAGCCTACAGAGAGGAGGCACAGCCTGGGCCCAGGTGTTCCGACTCCGAGGCCAACCCTGCCTCTACCACACCTGCCACAAGGTCCAGCCTCCTGAGCTGGCATTTGCAGGTTGAGCATTTGCATAGAAGCCGCCATGGAGTGGACAGGAAAGTAGTCAGAGACATTGCTCTGCTGCCTGGGCCTGCCCTGTGACTTCAGATGGTCTCTTCACCTTCTGAGCCTGGGTCCTCCTCTGTAGTGTGAGATTCTGAGGTCTCTTTCATGGGCTTCTTGAAAGGATTGCGTAGTGGGTTGAGTAGCATCTGCCAAAACTCATGTCCACTCAGAACCTCAGAATGTGACCTTATTTGGAAATAGGTCTTTACAGATGTAATTAGTTAAGAATCTCAAGACGAAACCATTCTGGACTTATGGTGAGCCCTAAATCCGATGATTGGTGTCCATATAAGAGGGAAGGACAGAGAAAGACACACAGAGAAGGCCACGTGAAGAGATTGGAGTGAAGTTGCCCCAAGCCGAGGATCACCTGGGGCCACCAGGAGCTGGGAAAGACAAAGATGGATCCTCCCCTAGGGCCTTTGCGGGTAGCCTGACCCTGACAACACCTTGAGTTTGGACTTCTGGACTCCAGAACTGTGAGAGAATAAATTTCTTTCTAAGCCACCAAGTTCACGGCAATGTGCTACAGCAAACCCCTGGAAATGAGCACATTTAGTTAAGGCCACAGCACTAAACAAAAGGACAGATTGAAAACTAGAACGAGGTCTTGTTGCCCCACAGTCGGAGCACTGAGACCCCTGGCCGTGAGAAGGACCGGCTGACAGCACTGTTGTCATTACTGCCCCGTGATCCGCCTGAGCCAGAGCGGGGAGCTCGGCCCACCTGCCCCGTGGTGGGAAACTGCCCTGGGTTTCTTGGTTCCCAGGCCACGTGCCCTGTCTTTCCTTCTTTCTGGCTGTCTTGTCTGGCCCACCCTCCTCACAGAATCAGCTGCACCCACAGGTGAAGTGAGGAGACTGTGGCGTGCAGGGGCCGGTGGGGGGGTGTCTGCCCCCAGCCCCCAGCCCCCAGCCCAGCTGGAACCCGGGCCTCCTTCACATCGTTCTGCACCTGGCTTCTCCTGCGAAGCCTGTGCCCATGGGCCTCTGGGCAGCGACCTTGAGTGTATGCCTGTGGGACGTCCCATAGTGCCCCCTGGACGCCGCCCCTTGTCTAGTTCCTTCCGCAGGGTGAGGACATCACTGAGCAGACGCCCCTCCCCCACTCTGCGTCCTCCCTCCTTGGCCTTTCAGTCACCACCACTTGTCTGTGACGTTCTGTCTGGACTCTTATCCTGCTGAGTCACCTGCCTGGCGTGTGCTGTGATGAGCTAAGTTTTCCTCAGCCATGAAATGGGGTCGCTAACAGCCTCCACTTCATAAAGTTGCTGTAGAAACTTTACCTTACATTACATCCTGGCATTAGCAGGTGCTCAACAGGTGTTGGCTTTTCTGTTCCTGGCCTGGCCCGTCGCCCTCCACCTGCGTTGTGCTTGTTCTTCTGGGCCTGCAAGACCTTCCTTTCACTCAAGGTGGAACTGACCACTGTGGCCCTGGCCCCGCCTGACACGCGCCCACTGTGGTTTCCTCTGTCTCTACAGTAGTGCCAACCGCAGCTCACTTGTCATGGGGTACATTATTGTAGGGACTTCTTCTGCCTTCTCTGAGCCCCCAGGGGCCAGGGGGCTGCTGGAGTCCTTCCCATTCTCCCCAGACTGGCTCAGAATCCAGCACGATGTTGGCAACCACATGGCTCATCTGTGTGAGTTGCTGAGGCCTGAGTGAACAGGAACCACCGCCTGGAGGATCAGGCCTGCCTGTGGCCTGGAACGAGCTGGGTGGTGGGACACTGTGAGGAGGGGCAGGGGCACTCTGGATGGGGAACCTCGAGGGAGGGGCTGAGACAGCGAAGGCACATTCCCACTCTCAAGAAGACCCTGTGCACGAATTTGCTAGGGCCACAGTAACAAATCACCACAAACCGAGTGGCCAGACAACAGTTCTGGAGGCTAAAAGTCTAAAATCAAGGTGTTGGCAGGGCTCCTTCCTTCTGGGGGCTCTTGGGGAGACTGTTTCCCGGCCTCTTCCAGCTTCTAGAGGCTGCCACATTTCCTGGTTCGTGGTCTCTCCCTCCATCTTCAAAGCGCATCAGTCTGACCTCTGTGTCTGTTGTCACATCCTCTTCTCTGACTCCGACCCTTCTGCCTCCCTCTTTCCCTTATGAGCTCTTTGTCGCCCATCTCAGGGTCCTCCACTCAACCCCATCTGCAAAGTCCCTTCTGCCCCATAAGACAACATATTCACAGGTACCGGGGGTGAGGACGTGGATGTCTTGGGGTTCCTTAAGCGATGACCACACTGTGTCACACCCTCTGTACCCTTCAGGCCTCCGTTCCTCAGCCCTGACCCTCCTCGCCCTCAGCCCACGTCTTCTCATTTCACTGAGGAGATGGAAGCAATGGACTGTCACTCGCTCATCTAGGCACACAGCCACCCACCCCTGCCCCGGCCTGTTGTCCCAGAGCCCTCATGGCCCAGCCGGGTGGGTACTCGGGCTCCCCCCAGCTCCATGTCCTCTGCCCATGTCCCACGGAAATGACAGCAGCAATCCTCTGCAGCCACTGCCCGATTTCTCTTCCTGCCTCCTCTGGAGTCTCCTCCCAGAGCTGACCGCACCAGAGCTCTTTAACCCACTCCACTCCGGCTTTGTCCACCCGTGGCACGGAGCCACTTTGTCCATAGCTTCTGTCTTGCCAGAGTCATCGCTCCCTCGATGTGTCACTTGTCACATGCAGCCCCTCCTGAGTGCCACACCCAGCTGCCCCACCGGGACTCTGCCATCCGTTCCCCTCAGGCTTCAAAATGCTGAAGGCCCCAGAGCTCAATCCTCAGACTCTTCTCTCTCTGCGCCTTCTCCTTGGTTGGTGGGAAAGGGTCAGATGTGACATTTCCTTTGGCTCCTTCTTCAAAATACTGTCCCAAGTCTGACTGTCTCTAACGGCCTTGGCCCCCTCGCTCCTGCAGTGCCTCCCTGGTCTCCCCTCTCGACCTGGTGCTTGACATCCGCCCCTTCTCCACACAGCACCAGACTGGCCCATTTAAACAGGTCCTGTCCCCTGCACAATTCTCCAAACTCCCCCCCCATGCCAGCCTGTGACTCCCTCTGTCCCTGCGCTGCAGACCCCCTGGCTGCCACCTCCTCTCCTTGTTTGCACCACCTGCACCCTCTGTTCCTGGACCTTGGAAAGCCAGGTTCTGTTTCCTATTTCCACTCAGCTCAGGAAAGCTGTCTGTGACATAAAGGCCATGTAAAGGGTCTGTTTGCTTGTCTACAGTGCCATGGGGGAGGGGCGTTGTCTTTTCACTCTGCGTTTCTCAAGAGCAGTGCCTGCACCAGGATGCTCAGCAGGCCTGTGGGCTAAGTGGACGGAGGAGCCTGCTGTGGCCCTGCCACCTCCCACTGCCAAGGCTAAGGCCCTTTCTTTGGGCCTCACCTTTTGGCCTGTGAAGTAGGGACTTTCCAGCTGGATGATCCCACCCTGCAGCACCCCAGGACTCCAGTAACTCCCAGCAACTTCCTGGAGATCCTCGCCCACTCCCCTAGTGATGTGGGCTACCTCCCCCAGGCCTAGGCCTGGGCATTTTCTAAAGATGCTTAACAAGGAGTTGAGAGAGACCCAAAGACCCAAAGGAACAAGAAGGGGACTGGACAGGTGCACTTTGCTGCGGCTCAGGTTTACAAGAGCTGGGGTCTGCACAGAGGCATCAACTGGCCCGGCTCTGCTAACAGGCTCAGCCCCTCTTTGGCCCCATCCATGCAGAAGTCTCCTCTGGGCCCCAAGCAGCATGTTGTCTTGGGCCCCTGGGCAATGGGTGCAGAGGGTGGGGTCCACGTGTGGGTAGACTCAGATCCATGACTGTCCACCATTAGGATCAGCCAGGAGCTTCTTGATGCTTGACTCCAGTGTCCCAACACTGAGATTTTGACCTGGTGGGTCCACAGTGGGATCCTGACTCAGATAGCGGGGCACAGAGTACCCCATGGTGGCACCTGGTGTCTCTGATGGCCCAGTCTCCCACTTCCACCGGTGCTAACCCCCCTCTCTCTCTCCTCAGGGTGACTCCGGGGGACCCCTCATCTGCTACCTCCCCGATGCCTGGGTCCTGGTGGGGCTGGCCAGCTGGGGCCTGGACTGCCGGCATCCTGCCTACCCCAGTGTCTTCACCAGGGTCACCTACTTCACCGACTGGATCAACGGAATCAGGAGGCTCACTCCTGTCCCTGACCCCGAGTCCGCTCCTCTGGACACCAGGTCCCCCCCACTGCCTCCGAGGGCTGCTGCCTCACCCGGGCCCGGCACCACCCTCGTGCCTCCGCAGACCTGGCTGCTGCCGCCCCTCATCCTCAAGGCCCTGCAGCCAGCCCTGTGGTGACCTCGGAGTTCCCTGGCTCCTCCTGACTCAGTCCCCAGTCTCCATGCGGGACCCCTCCTCTCTCAGCCCACCGTCTCTCTAAATGCTTCTTTTTCCTCAGCTTTTCTGTCCATTAACTGTCTTTCCCCAACCAAGCCTGGCAAAACCAAACTAGACCAAATAAAAGTCCTGCCTGGCTCCTCCTGAAGCCACACAGCCGTCCGGGCCCTCCTGCTCCAGTGCCTGCCCTCCCCTGGGGTCAGCGATCTGCCTCCCTGGGTGAGGATCTGGACCTCACTGAGGGCTTCCAGGAGGAAAACAGGAGAGGGGGGCACATTGAAGGGACGTGGCTGCTCGCAGGCTGCTCATGACTTGGGGAGGCCGTTCCTTCAGAGGAGGCAAGACTTTGCACCCCTTGTGCCAAGTCTGGGGGAGCAGGGGCTTCCGTGAGGTAGAGGAACAGCGCTCCTGGGGCATGTGGGAGGGAGGGCTGACTCCCAGAGGAGACGGAGGGAGGGAGGGGAGACCCTGGAGCATGCAGTGACTGAGTGGGAATGGGGTATAGGACCCAGGCCATGAGGAAGGGGGTCGGCCAGCGGCTAGAGGGCTTTCAGATGTGGGTGGCTGGGGAAAGGGATGGGGAGCAGGTGGAGGAGGCCCCGATGCCTGGCCGAGGGCTGACGTTTAGGCCAGAAATGCTCAGATCCTTATTCCTAGGGTCAATTCCCAACACCTTCCTCACCTGCCCCCATAGGTCCTGCTCTCCCCAAGTCTGCAGGAGCCTGACCCCCCACCCACTAGCTTCTAACCCTGCATGAACCTGCTCCCTGCTGTCCAAGGCCCCAGGCCAAGCCTGCCTGGAATGTCCACATACCTCCAGCAGTTGGAGCCTGGTGTCACTTTTGCTAGTTAGCTGACCCAGGACTTAGTGGCCTGGCAATAAGACCTGAAGTAGGCTGTCCTTCTTACAAGTCTGTGGGACAGAGTCCTGGTGCAGCCAGCAGGAACCTGGCAGGCCTCACGGTGCAGGCTGCCCCAGCCTTCAGAGCCCACGATAAAGAGTGAGGGCTCCCACTTAGCACATGTCCATATGGATCGGGCGCCAAAGGGTTCAGTGAAAATTCTTTCTTATCTTGGTATTGCTCAAATTTCTGGACCCTCACTGGCAGGAGGGTGCAGATGGACTCACATGCGCACCAGCACCAGGATCTCACTGGTTCAAATCCTCTGCTACTCATGCAGGCACTCTCATCCCAGAATAATCTGTAGGACCTCAAGAGTGTTTTCACAGGGTCTCCTCCTGTAGGGATGTTTCTGGCAGTTCCTGTGTCCAGCTGGAGCTACACCACTGAGGTTCCACTGAGCCTAGCTGTACGCCCGCCACTAGTGTCTGGCCTTAGAGCTCAGCAGTCTCTGAAGGGGGCGGCAAAAGCACTCTCTCCCCTAGTGGTGAGCTCAGTTACAGACCCTGGGAAGACAGGGAGTCACCGAGACAGCATGTGGTCCACACGTGTTCTCAAGGTCAGGGAAGCTTGGGTGGTTCGGTTAGTATTAGCAACACCACTTGCCCCAGAGTTACTGTTCTCCTCCCAACTGTGGTGGCCTCAAGTGGCCCTGGGGGCCTACGAGTCATACACCCTGTCCCAGGAGGTAGGTGTTTCACTGTCTCCCCAGATATCCTCAGACCTTTAAACCAAGGAACCCCAGCACATGCCTGCTCCACATGGCCTCAAGTGGCCCTGGGGGCCTACGAGTCATACACCCTGTCCCAGGAGGTAGGTGTTTCCCTGTCTCCCCAGATATCCTCAGACCTTTAAACCAAGGAACCCCAGCACATGCCTGCTCCACACAACAGATCATCCAAATCTCAGCTCCAGCCCAGCCAGTTACCCAATTACCCAAAACCAAACTAAGTGCTCAGTATTATTACCCTGGTTTAGTTTCTTTTTAAGATCAACTGAAGCCTATGAGGGATGAGTAGCCTTTCAGAGATGACACAGGTAGTAAGTAGTGGAACAGGAATTCACACCCAGGCCCCTTCTGAGAGAGCTGGACCACCTGTGTTCTTCCTGTTCCCATAGGCTGCACCCTGATGCCTGTTACACAAGCCCCAGACACCAGAAGAAACTTACTCTGACCTGTCCCCAGAGCAAGCTACTGAAGAGAGAGACTGGGGTGGGGACTGGAGGGGCCTGGAGGTGTCATTGGGGGAGAAGGACTTGAAAGGTCTGCCCATGGGGGCTGCCTACCCTCCCAGATGGTCAGTGGCATGGGCTGCTGCTCTTATTGCTAAAGTCAACCCCAGACAGGCCATGGAGGCGAAAAAAAAAAGAACCAAGATCAATTAGAGATTTCTGGTTTCCAATATGGAGTGTAAGGAGCTTGGAAGTCATGACTTCCATTCTCAAAACAAGAAAAAGGCTGAACAAACTGAAAATAAATAACTCTTCTTAGATTCATCAGAGAATTGAGGTCACAGGTCAAGCTGCTGCCCTCAGAATTGGAGAGACAGACAGGTACAGAGAATTGCAGCTTACCTGAAGGCAGGCTCAGGAGCAGACACTGACTGCTGGAGTCAGTACTGGGGTAGTAAAACCTAAACTGTAACTGA